GGAGCCGCTGCGCAGGGCCTGCAGCCATGCCGGGGACCGGCCCCGCTCGCAGCCCCGCCGGGTGCCCCCCCTTTGCCTTGGGCTGCTGCAGACGTCCGCGGGAAGGAAAGCAAAAAGCCTTTCCAGTGGCGCTGCAGTAGCAGTTTTTGGCGTTCTGTTCTGACACTTTGATGATCCCCAGGACTCAACGCTACCGTCATCTGCGACGTGCGGCTGAGCTGTTTATTTTACCTTTGTAGCCACAGCCAACTCTTTCTGCCTTTGCACCAGCTTTGACAATTAAAGCCACCGGTGCGTTATGTTCCACTTCCTCACCACAACCCCCCCCCCAGTCTGTAACTGGGCTGTCAGGGTTCTGGTCCCGCTGGGCAGCGCCGTTCCACCAGTGCTCAGCTTTTCCCTATTTCTGGAGTCAGCGCTTCCCCTCAGCTGTGGTTATTCCTGCAGCGGCTCAGGCTCTGCCGGCCTGAACGGTGCCAGGAGCTGCGTGCACCTCATTGCCTTCGCCTTCTCCCAGGCGCCGCGGGCCCATTAGTGCTCGGCACTGCTGGCAGCACCGGCGGAGGCACCGCTCGCCCACGCAGGGAGGGTTTCGCACATGTCGGTGTGTGGGTCCGGGTCCTGCCCCGCGTAGCCCACACGGGCCTGCCCTCCTTTCTGTGCCCGCCGTGTGAAATGCTGGCTGTGGCGCTGGTGCCACCCCCCGATGAGCCCAAACTTGTCCCCTTGTGGGATCCCTGCTTTTGCTTTCAGGCTTGGGGCCAAACCGATTGCTGCCACTGCGCTGTTGATTGCTGGCTCAGCACGGCCCAGAAAAATAGGCTCAGCAATCAACGAGCTGATCCATGGACTAACTCATAAACAAACACATGAATTAATTCCGAGTTGTGTCATTTGCCGCGCCGTTGCACGGGGATTGCACGACAACACAGACTCTTGTCTCCTGTTGCGCAGCTGCTACTGAATTACAGCCTGGCGTGCCGCAGCCCGCCGGCACCGGGCCCCCGCGGGCT